GGAAAAGCAGCAAAGGATAGCCCAAGTGTTTGAACCCCTGCCTACATGGGAGACCTGATGGAGTTCCTGGCTCCTGGCTGTGACCTGGCTCAGCACTGGGCTGTGTGGGCGTCTGGGGAGTGAACCAGCAGATGGGAGATTTCTTTCTTCCTGTCCCTCTCCACCTCCCTCTGTTTCTCCCTCTCTCTCTAACTCTGACTCTCAAATAAATAAATAAATCCTAAAAAAATGTTGTTTCCTCTTCCCTTTAAAAAAATTTTTATATTTAGCTTTTTATTTTACAAAATTTGGAACTCAGAAGAGATTTAATAATAGTATAATGAATATATAACCTTCATTACTCTTCAACTGTGGTTTATTTTTTGAATATTTATTTACTTTAAGGTAGACAGAGAGAGAGAGAGATTGAGATCCTCTGTCTGCTACACGGTCGGTGGCCAGGCCAGGCTGAAGCTAGGAACCTGGACCTCCATCCAGGTCTCCCATGCGGTGGCCGCACCCCAGGCACTAGACCATCCTCCTGTAGTCCAGCAGGTTCATCAGCAGGGGGCCGGGTCGGAAGTAGAGCAGTGGACTTGAGCTGGTGTTGACCTGGGAGACTGGCATTTGCTGGACCACAGTGCTGGCCCCGATTCACCAATTGTCAACATTTGCTTTGGGGTGTGTATACATTTTACTGAATTCCGTGAGCCTCAACTGCAGAAATTATATGTCAGCACTTACTTCCTAAGAACAAAGACATCGTCTTACATAATAGTGCCTTCCTCCAAGTCAGTAACTTGATACTGGTAGTAACACCAGGATCACATGCATGGTTTCTGTTAGCTTTTCCCTAGAGACCTGCTGATTCTCGTCTGGGGCGTTGTTTTCTCTTGTTCTTGATTTGACACTGGATTGTTGTCTTAGCTCTGAGTGTCCTTCAGGCTGTTACTGCTCCCACTGCTTTGGGTCGTACTGGAGCTCACCTGCCTCTTAAGCTTGAGGAAATGGAAGGATGATCCCGCTCTTCTATGCAACACTGGGGCTCCCTGGTATGTCAGAAGGGGAAGGTGGTGGCCGTGTGGGTCAGAAGACACATGGCCCTTGTCTGCGGAGGGGCTGCAGATGAGTGAAGGGCACACAGCCAGCCCTGCCGAGCTCAGAGAATCCCACCCCGGGCTTGTGCTGGAGTTGAGGTGTAATTCAGGGCTCTCCTGGTGGTGGAAGACAGCGTCAGTCACCTGCTTTGGGTAGTCCTGACATCCGCTTTTTTCTGGTCAGAGTGTGCCTTGGGCTCTGCTGGACTGTGCTCGCTGAGTAGCCCCTGGGTTGTCTGCTGCCATGGCCATGGAACGGAGCCTGCTCGGCGTCACTGCCACGGTCCGCAGCGGAGCGTCATTTCCTTCGCCAGCGTTGGGCTGGGAGACGGACGCTGGCGGAGGTCTTGCCGACTGCCCCTGGGTGTTCTCCTGTCTGCGTGCACGGAGCGCAGGAGCACTGCTTGTCAACAGCCCCCGCCGGGGCTGTGAGGGGCTGGGGTTTCTAGAGATCTGTAGCTGTGCTTTTCTCCTGCCCCACTTGGTCTGCACACGTTGTCCAAGGTATCCCATGTACCAGACTAGCAAGGAGGACCCCCGGGAGTATAGCCTGTACCTTTGTGTCATGAAGAGAAGTTTGAGCAAAGTTGTTTAAATTAAAATTGGGACCAGAGCTGTGGCGTAGCAGGAGCAGGTAAAGCTGCCGCCTGCAGTGCCGGCATCCCGTATAGGCACTGGTTCGAGACCCGGCTGCTCCATTTATGATCCAGCTCTCTGCCATGGCCTTGGAAAGCAGTGGAAGATGGCCCAAGTCCTTGGGCCCCTGCACCCACGTGGGAAACCTGGAAGAAGCTCCTGGCTTCGGATTGATGCAGCTCCAGTTGTTGCAATCAGTTGGGGAGTGAACCATCGGATGGAAGACCTCTCTCTCTTTCTCTCTCTCTCTCTCTTTCTCTCTCTCTCTCTCCCCCTCTCCCTTCCCTCACCTCACCTCACCCTCACCCTCTCCCTCTCCCTCTCCCTCTCCCTCTCCCTCTCCCTCTCCCTCTCCCTCTCCCTCTCCCCCTCCCCCTCCCCCTCCCCCTCCCCCTCCCCCTCCCCCTCCCCCTCCCCCTCCTCCTCCCCTTCTCTCTGTGTGTAACTCTGACTTTCAAATAAATAAAAAAAAAGTTTTAAAAAGTTGACTTAAAGTTCTTGGAACCTGGTGCTTCCTTTAGAATAATTGGCATCTATATAGACAAGTATAGTATTATATGGCGTTGTGGCAGTTTTCCTCTACGTAGTTGAGTTCAACAACTTTGAGGCTGTTTCCTCCTCCTGTTGAACAGAAGCTGGAGTGCCCTTGTGTGGCTTGGGGTGACTGGGCCTCTGTACCGGCCTGCAGCCAGCATACGGTGAGACTTACAAGAGCAGCTCTTAGCAAGTCTTGCTCTGTGGAAAGCCGGGATAGACTTCGTCTTACGCCGCCTCATTATTGGGCGGTGAGCATGATGCTGCTTGCAGATGGCAGACTTCTCCTTATCTGGACCCAGGCAGTGCCCTTAGGGAGGAACCCTGGGCCTCCATGTTGCCAGCCGGTGACTGCTGGGGCGGAGGATGCAGTGATGGCTCCTCGCTAGCGCCAGCAGTGAGCTTGGAGCTGTGACGCTCTGAGGGTGTGTGTGGGGGACGTGTGCACACTCTGAGGGTGTGTGGGGGGGACGTGTGCACA